GTAAACTGCAGTTTCGACATCACATAGGTCTTATCAACAGCCCAAGGGAATCGAAACTTTAGCCCACTCCAGCCGGGATGAGAACAATTTATGGGGAGGTAAGGCTATATGAAATTCAATGGAAGCATCAGTTTTACTCATATCATTGTAGGAAAATTCTACTATTAGTCTTTCATTACCTTAAACGAAATTGGATGAATACATCTCATATTACTGATTTACTGTTAGTCTCGAAACTCTGTTTATTTATATGAAAAATACAGCTATGATTGTTTTCGAACTTATGGTGAATTTATTCGATCTCACCTTTCGTCTGACTGATGCTGATAATCTTGTCCGATATGTCAGAAATGCCTACAATTATAGGATTTTTTTCTTTGAAGTTAAATAATTTCAGGTTGAAATAAGTAGGAAAGATTTAATGAAAATTCTTCATTTCCTAACCTAATTCAGTTTTTTCAGTGGAATTCTGGCTCAAGTCATGCTTATCCTTCAGATCATTCAATTCTAGAAAAACCTAATTTCAATGAGCTTTTTGGCTGTAAGGCAATAGGAACGCTCGATTGAAATGCTAAAAATATGCTTTGACGCATCGAAATTAGGTTATCAATCAGTTTTAAGAATAATAAGTAGTTAATTGACTATTTACTCGCTTGATCGAAACTGTTTGTACCTACATCAGCAGAGCATCGCTGTGGGCGAGCGAGTCGTTTTATGTAAAATAATTTTGGAATAATAAGTAAGGTGAAAGTTCAAACATCTTATCACATGCAGTTGATTTGGCTTTAGTTCAGAGTTTGATCGAAAATTCCGAGCTTTCCGAGTGACTGTTTATCAGATAAGTATTCAAGGGTAGACATCACGCAGTTATCCCAGCATTTTTCTCCATCCTCATTGTTGTATCGTTTCCGAGGGCTCGAGATGTTAGAGGAGAGAATGTTTGGAATCGTGTATAATAGCGAAAGCTACACGCAAAATAGGCTACCAATTTAGTTTTGCTTTGATGTTGCTTCGGTGGTTGATGGGGCTTGTGATTGAAAAAAGACGGCAAACATTTTTGACTGTTCATTATAAAATAAAAATAAATGTTTTACAAGTGGAATGCACATCAGCAGTTATGTACAGTTGGAAGTGGCAATACCTTTTGCTGATCAGCCAGACACACTAATATTCTGATTTGATAAGGAAAGAATGTTAATTCTGCTCTATATTAACCTAGGGCATCAAAACATCGCGTCGGTAGCGTACTTGCCCGGTGTTTGGCTCAGGGCAAGAACGGTTGGTTGGTGGTCGCTGTTTGCCGTCGATTGGTGGAGGGATATTTCTGTAGGGATTAGGCCTTCCCATCCCAGCCGCTAAGTAGGCTTTTGTTGTGTTGGCCCCGGAAATCGGCATGCCCAAGTGCGATGGCGTCTCAGCCAGCCTTGAGCCAAGATCGGTCTGTTTTATTTCACATTTCGCCGGACAGTTGAGGCTTGAAGACTTGCCATTTAGGGTGGACGGTTCACCTGCGGCAGTTGAGAGTGTAGCATCTTTTGCGTTAAGAGGGCTGCAGGCGTCTCCAATAGGTCTGGCTACCCCATCTTCTAGCACATCTTCAATGAGCACAGTCCGTGGAAAAACATTAAAATAGAAAGATTAAGCCAAAATAGAACTTGAAATTTCGATTCAATAAAGTTGTATTACAAATACAATTTTAGCACTCTGATCTTGCAAGCACAATACATTTACTCATTCCATATTGTCTTGGAGATGCAAATTTTCAAGACTATGATAAGTCACTTTTTGTTAAACTATGAAATAGCTCTAGGAATTTAACCTTTGATTTCCTATCGCTAATATATATAGACATTAAATTTTAAATGGTTTAACTTGTGATTTAGCTTCGTTCACGTACAGCTATTCACATCCAATATGTGATTAGCCTCCATTTTCGTTACAAAATTGTCGTATCTCATCAAGATTCTGGACCTTAAGGAAGAACATTGGATTCTGGAGCTTTAAAATAAGTTAAATATACATTTTTTTTACTTGAGGCTAACACCATAATTAGGACATTTTTACTTCTGGTCGTTGTGAAAAAATTCGGTAAGGAGAGAAAGCCTTTAGACCTACAATTTATGGATAATTGTGATATTATGAATTAGGCCACATGAGCCAACGTCAGAATTTTCTGACAAGGGTATGAAATTCCCATACCATAGACATGGAGTTATCAGTAAAAATTATATATATATATATATATATATGCCAAATAAATAAAAAATGTGAACTTGGTCATCAGAACTAAAATAACAGACCTTGAATCATCAAAACACATTTGAAAACGAAAAAGAGAAAAAGATATATATATATAACAATGGAAAGCCATATAAATAAAAATCAACAGTTAGATTACTTCCATCGTATGAAATAAATGCAGCACAACTCAGTATGTACTATAATTATGATATCACTGAGGTCCAAATAATCTCAAAATGTATACAGATGGTAAAATTATGACTAGACTACATTTATTTGTAAAGCGCAAATCTAATAACCAGAGAGACATGCGAAGCAGGTCTTTTATATTTAGCATTTTAACTCGAATCTTTATTAATAAAGCTAAATTATTAATCACTAAGTAGAATGCAATCTTTATTAAATCCATATTTAAACAAATTTTCTCAAACTGTGCCTAAAAGTGCTTTATATTAGCATAAGATTAATTATAATATTATATAATAACAGCTTCTTCATGGTAATAAAATAAATGGCAACTGCAAGGTGGAATTAGCCAACCTTATTTTACCTACGCAATAGAGAAATTGAAATAATTACCCTGATGAAGTATCGATTTTAAGGCAAATATTCATTTTAAAATAGTTCTTACTAAAAGAGTTTAATAGTAGTATTTCTTTAAATATAATTTTTTTATAAATGCAAGGAAGAACTAAACTTATTAAATATTTGTATAAAATCGTAGGTTTGATGAAAAATAAAGAGTGAACTATATTTCTATTACAATAAGAACGTTAGTATAAATACAAATTCTAATTGTTAAATAAAAACGAATCAGGGCATCGCAGTTTAATGAATAAATCTTTGATTTCCAGAAAGTAAAATCGCTAGGGCATAGCATCACATCTAAATTAACAAATGTACAAAATCTTTAGTCTCAATTGCACTCGGCTAAGTGATCTCAAATAAAAATATTTCACCATTTGATTTTTGATAAAAATAACTTGTCGACAGCTTAGCTGCATCAAATAATAGGAGTTTTATTCATTAGAGCATAATATTTTTAATATATCATCGCAGGAAACTAATTTATCAGTCAGTTTCAGACAGCAGATCACACATTATAATAAACATTCTGGTCATCTGTCACAATTAATCTAGCAATTTTAGCCGAAATTTATAGAGGCTAATACAATTGCCCCGCCAACTAGTCAGACCTGAACTAATTGTACTTCATTATAAGCTATAATAAATGATAATTTATTTTAAATATGACAAGATATTTTTGGTATAGAAGTTATTTGACCTTGCTTTATTAACTTGGTCGTATTGACAAAGAGATCTAGAGGAACCTAATTTGTCTGTAGTCAATATTGTTCTTTCTTATTTGCAGAGTCAGATCGTGGACTTGGTACATTCCCAGACGTTTTGCAGTCATCGTCAATGAACCTTGCTATTCTTAGCAACAAACCACATATCGTGAAAGAAACAAGTCAACTCGATCCCCTGACCAATTGTTTGCTAAAGTTGCAGTATCTCTTCTTCTGTCCTGATGTATTCAACTTTGCTTTCTATTCTTATAACACCCTTCCAAAAATACTAAAACCTAGTTGAGGTATGTCCAGTTTGAGCGAATTTAGTGAGAACCTTTCACACTCTCCGCTGATTACCCCATCCTTTAACTGTGTTGGAAGTGCTGATATAAGTATTCCCTTTTAGCCTACAATCCTGATCCTCCAGGTCCTATCAGAGCATTGCTGTTGCTCCTTACGATCCATATCGTATCTTCCTGATCCAGTTATTTCATTTGATCGCAGCCACCAGAT